TATATATATATATATATATATATATATATATATATATATATATATATTAAGACTCTTTAAAGGTCCTTCAATGCACTTTTTATTGTAATTCACTTTGTCTCATCCGTGGCTGTTGATCAACACGCTTCAGTTCCTTCACACATAAACATTGTCATGAGACTCGTGGATCCTCCAGAGTCCCCAACAGAGACTCTGTCTCCTCCTGTTCCAGCTAATGATGTTCTTACTGTGTCTTTATTGGAGCGATGAAAGACGTTTAAGGAATAGAACATTGATGAAGTGAAATGAATGGTGGGTCCTGTGATGTTTACAGCTCTCAGAAACATCATTGTTGTCTTGTTTTGTTCTATTCTAAGTCCTGAAGATGGACAATACTTTCAATTCCTATGACAGAAATTATTTAATTATTGCGAGTAGTAAGCCAAGCGCACGGCCACCATCGATAGAACCTCCATGACATAGAACCTCCATCGATAGAACCTCCATGACATAGAACCACCAGCGTTAGAACCTCCATCAGATAGAACCTCCATGACATAGAACCTCCATCGATAGAACCTCCATGACATAGAACCACCAGCGTTAGAACCTCCATCAGATAGAACCTTCATCACATAGAACCTCCATCGATAGAACCTCCATCAGATAGAACCTTCATCACATAGAACCTCCATCAGATAGAACCTTCATCACATAGAACCATTCAACAGAACACGTGACTCCACCTGTTGTTCTGGAGGTGAATCGCTCTGCAACACACGCAGGACTTTACAACCAGGAAGTGAAACCAGAGCGTCGACGCAACGTAAAGACGCAGAAACACGCAGCGGCCTTCAGATTAGCTGTTCCTAGCAGTCTCTATGCTAAGCTAAGCTGTCCCGTGAGTCCTCAGGTATCTGTTCTCACAGAGGTCACTCTCCTGGTTGCTACCATGACCTTTGACCTCCCTCAACAGAGACTGGTTTCTGTTGACTGAGGAAAAGCTGCTTCTGGTTCCTCTGGTTTTTTCGCGGGTTCTAAAAACGGGTGAATGTTAAAATGTCAAACGGACGTCCATGTTAGACGCTGAGAATCTGAATTATTTACTGCCAGGGCTAAAAACGTCTGTACATTCCCGAGGTCACTAGAGGTCACTATCTGCCTCTTCACATGGCTCCCATTAACTATTTCAGATTTTGGAACATCTCATTTTCTCCTGCACTATTAAACAATGAGAAGATCATTAAAACCCTTTAATGCAGAAAGTATTTTTAACCAGAAGAGTTTTTAGGTTTCCTTCTCCGGTCCATGAAGAGTTCTGGAGAGAGGCAGACGCTGCTCCAACTGGTGGAGGAGGAGGAAGAGGAGGAAGAGGAAGTGGGAGAGGAGGAAGAGGAGCAGGGAGAGGAAGAGGAGGAAGAGAAGAAATGACAGGGAGCAGGTGGTGATGACATGTAACATGTTCAGATATGGGCAGCGTCATCTGTCAGACGTGTAACATGTTCATGTGTGTTGCTGCTCCACTTGAACACAGGAAAAGAGACGTTCAGAATTAATGGCCCTCAAATAAGAGTTTGACTTTAATATAAAGAAAATATTCAGACTGTGTTTGTGAATCTATCATTTCTACATAAACTCGCCCTTCATCTGTCTCCTCTTTCCTTCTGTCACAGAGACGAACTACTTCATTAAACCAGATGTTCAGTTCTTCACCAAATTCTTTGTTTCTTCCTCGGAGGTGAATGTGGGGTTAAAACAGCGCTGCGTCTCTTTGTATCTGGCTCGCTCTTCGATGTTTACACATCTGCTTTTAACAGATCCTGGATCAGGAGCTTTTATGTGAAGTGGTTGAAAAAAGGCAGCTGTAAAAAGTCTGCTCTCAGTAATCTGAGCTTTAAAGTGCTTCTGACACGAGTCTGTATATCCATAGATCTTATATATATATATTTAATTATACTGCACATGTTGAAATTCATTATTCGTGATTAATGAACGTTGTTGTTAATGTTTGTTTATTTCAGAAGACTAAATCTTACATTAATGAGTATTCACTTTAGAAATCTTGTATTTTAGACTGTTGTTTAATTGTTACTTACTCCACATGTGATCTTCTTGGAGGTGGAACATGTTGAACATGTTGAACATGTTGAACTAGCGACTCTTCCTGTCGTCCTCGTGCACTTTGCTCTCAGCTCTCATCATCTAACGGCTGCGTCTGAAGTGCCGACAATCTCCCCACATTTAGCAGGACGTTTTCAAACCAGGTCTTTTAGGGACACGGTGGTGGTCCTCTGCTGACGGTGGTGGTCCTCTGCAGACGGTGGTGGTCCTCTGCAGACTGTCGTTGTCCTCTGCAGACGGTGGTGGTCCTCTGCAGACGGTGGTGGTCCTCTGCAGACTGTCGTTGTCCTCTGCAGACGGTGGCGGTCCTCTGCAGACGGTGGCGGTCCTCTGCAGACGGTGGCGGTCCTCTGCAGACGTGGCGGTCCTCTGCAGACGGTGGCGGTCCTCTGCAGACGGTGGTGGTCCTCTGCAGACGGTGGTGGTCCTCTGCAGACTGTCGTTGTCCTCTGCAGACTGTGGTGGTCCTCTGCAGACTGTCGTTGTCCTCTGCAGACGGTGGTGGTCCTCTGCAGACGGTGGTGGTCCTCTGCAGACGCTGGCGGTCCTCTGCAGACGGTGGTGGTCCTCTGCAGACGGTGGTGGTCCTCTGCAGACGCTGGTGGTCCTCTGCAGACGGTGGTGGTCCTCTGCAGACTCATCCCAACAACTGGGACGGTGAAACACTGGCAATGGCTGCTGGGTTTGAGTTGCTTCTCGCCAATTGGACGGCAAACTGGAGAAGGAGTCAAAGTCTGCAGCGTACTTTGACTCGTCGATGAAACGCCATCTCGTGGGCTTCTATGGCTCATGAGAGGATGGATTTTATGTTCAAATAATCAACCGATTTCAGGTTAAATATTGAAATCAAGTCACAAGCCATTTGCTTTCATATTCAATTGAATTTTTTTCTGAATTTTTAAATATTTTTAACTTTTTAACTTTTATTCCTTTATTTTTAAACTAACCCATAGCATTGCTTTATTTTATTCCTCGTGCACTGTTGTCTTGTCGTCCATTGTCGTACTGTCTGCTGTTACGCACCAACCACCAAGTCACATTCCTTGTATGTGACATATTGTGGCAATAAATGTTTCCTGATTTATTGTTGCTTACTAACATAACTGTGCAATAATTAAGCAATAAGGTCCGAGACGCTGGACTTACTGCTTTTACAATACGGTTGCAGTGAAATTATACATATTAAGTAAGAAGCTTCCTTTCAGCACAAAATAGTTTTAACCAAATGTTGTGTAATTTATCACATTTAGTACGTGTGGCTGTTGCTATGCGTTTGTTAGCCTAGCAACAAAAGTCTGTTGATGATTAGCGAGGAGATCAACATTGATTTGTGCGTCGTTTGAAAACATCACAGGTTTCCTGCTAGATGTCACACCTCCTCATTCATCCACATCGCCCATGACGTCCACTATCGATGGATGAAGCTATCGTTACCGAACCGAACCGCTTCATCTACCGTGTTGTAATTAAGGATGAAGACGGCTGCATTCTAATGCTGGACAACAACTACTTTCTGACTTTCACATCGCAGTGCGTTCCCTGTTACTGACACCACCGCACCTCACTGGTTAGATGTTGAGATGGAAGTAGCCTAGCAGCTAGCTTAGCATAGCATGCCGCTCGCCCCCCTTCTGTTGGACCAAACGTTCCAATAAATCGATCAACAAAGAATCAGTAGATACTTAATAGCGGATTGATGTGGAGGATATAAATATCTGTATAACAATTATTCAGATACGATGTGATAAACAGTCAGAACATAAATCATTTTTTCTGGTTCAGTAAGTCAAAGCTGTTTGTCCCTGCAGGGCTGCCGTACAGGCAGGTGTGTGTCTGTGTGTCTCTGTGTGTGTTGTTGATGTAATAGACGGGTTTCATTTGGCTTTGTGCTCCGATGTAAAAAAAGAAAAAGACTTGTTTTAGCAGAGGGCCTTCCGTTTTTTATTAGTGTGGTCTGCTGCCTTCATGTACCAGCGGTTCCTCTCAGGTTCCTCTCAGTTCTCCGGTGGATTACCTCCGTGTTTGTGTTAGCGTCGTCTCTACAGTACCACAGAAGAAGAACTCCAGGTTCCAGACTTCAGTGTTTATGACCAAACCGCTCACAGCTCCAGACGCACTCTAGCGTTTCCATTACAGCAGCTGAAGAAGAAGCTTGGAAGCCTCCAGACCAAACATCTGGCTGAAGGACATGTGATGAGCTCACCCAACCACAGCCACTGCAAAGATTACCTCCCGACCGCCTCTCCTAACAGCTTCTGCTTGACCTCCACTGGGTCAAGGAAAGAGGAGAAGGACAATTTCTTAGGAGTTAGGAGACGACAACTGAGGTGATTAGAGAATCCAAGTCCACTTCAACATCAATGAAACTACGAGCTTGAAGGAGCAAACGGTAGCTAACAGAAGCTAGCAGGCGGGCCAATCAATGCTAAAGGTAGCTAACAAAGCTCATAGTAGCTAGCTGATACCAAGGGAAGCTAACAGGAGCTACTACACCTCTGCCACTAGCTAGCTAGCTACAGACTCAGAGGTGTGGTCCAGGTGTAACGTCGGCGTACCTGAGGTGTTACCACAGAAACCACATGAACACATTCACTCTGCGCTGAGGTTGTGGTGGTTCACAGACTATTTGTACGTTTATTATCTGTGTGTAACCAGGGTTTGAAAATATGTTTCTGTTCATATGGGAATTAAATAAGTTGTCACATTTTCCCTGTTTAAGCAGAGAATGAGTTCATCTTTTCCTTAATAGGCTTTAATCTTTGTTTCCGTTGACTGTTTATGTAGGAATGAGCTAAAATACTATAATCAATAAAACTTGACTTATCAACTATGAACTATGTTCAACAACTGCAGTTTCAGGAAAGATAAGAACTTTGAACATTTGATATCCTGGTGAGTTGAGTGAAGTTTTTACTGTTAGCCGTGTTAGCAAGAATGCTTAAGGATATTTTGTATTTCGTGGCTATTGTATTAAAACCAGTCAGGAAGGGAACTAGAAAGGGTACAAAGGTGCATCTATGCGTAATGGTTATAATTGAAGGCCCTGACTTGCTGATGGTTAAGTAACGTCGTAGCCGTGCGGCTAGCAGCCTGGTTGGATTGGTATTGAATTGTTGTCCTGCTCGTGTACACAGGCTGTGTTTTTTGGGTACCGTCATCGGCGGAACGAGGAGTAGCGTCCAGCCGTCCTGTCTGCCACCACCCAGCACGTCTTCATCCATCTGCCAACAGCAGAACCCTCAGATCCAGCGTCCATTTCCCTGGACATGAGGGGTGGCAGGACATCTTAGGACAATACTCCTTCCTGAGATCTCAGATTTTTTTTAAATGTTTCACATTACCTGCTTGCACACTTTTTGATGTGTGGAATCGTGCAATTGTTGAAGAGATGATTGTGTTCTAAATAAAGCTGTTGTATTAAGCGTAACTCAGGGTGGACATTTCTGGTCTCTACAGAGGTCAGACAAGCAAAAGTCTCCTCGTCGAACTTGGATTGAATTAGAATATTCCCCTCTGTCCCGTCTCTCCACCAGTTTGTTCATCAGACCATCACCTTCGCCCCCCTCGAGCTATTGAACACCAGATGTTAATAGCATTATGCTAAGGAGGCCTCTCTCACAGTAAGTGGAACAAGTGGGCCTGAAGCTGTTCAGCAAGACGCTAAATATGTGAGGCCGAAAGGCTTCGACTCCTCTTTTGTTCATAAACATGTAGATCTGTTAGAAGAGAACCAATCGATCAATACACCGACAGGGCCACAGACAGGAAGCGGTGACTCGTTGTGGCCTCCCTCCGGCTGGGGGAGCAAGACGGAGACGGAGACAGCTGTTGTCATAGCAACGGCCCATTAAGACGACATTACTAGGATCCAATGTGTCACTTCTTCTGCTTTGTCTTTTCCTCCTCTAGCTGTTCCCTTTTCTTCCTTCCCTCGTTTCCTTCCCTTCTATCCTGGCCTCGTCTCCTCATTGCCTCCTCTCCTCTCTGTACGTCTCCTTTCTTACTGTCTCCTCCTCTCACTTTTCGTCTCCTCTCTCCTCGTCTCCTGGTCTCCTCTTTCCTCTGTCCTTCCTCCTCTGTCCTCTCTTCTCTCCTTTCTCCTCCCCTCGTCTCCCTCGTCTCCTAGTCTCCTCTCTCCTCACTAATAACGTTGAAGTGTTTCCAAACATTCAGAGGTCAGAGGTCAGATGTTCTTGGACTCTCTCATCATTCCTCTCTAATCACATTCCTGCTGCTGGAAGTATAAATACATAGAATATATTAGTACCACATATTTCTCTGAGGTCATCAGAGCCGTCGCCTCGTCTTCAACGCGTTGCACAAACTTTATTCCGGACAACATCTTTAGGAGAAGTGAAACCAAGTGTCTCTTTTCTAGTAATACCGGGATGGAAACAGGAAGTGACATCAGCGGCCTCGTCCGTCCGTCTGCCGTCTGTCAGCGGGATATTTGATGACATGCGGCCTCTGCCTCGTGTCCTCTCACGTGAGCTCCTCACAGGGGTGGACAGAATAATAGAAACTCATTAAAGGCTCTTTTAGAAGAGTGGCTGTTGCATCTCTGACTGTCTGATTATCTTGAGCGTTGTGGATATTTATAAGTCATTGATTACATCAATATAGATGAGGTCATAACCTCCAGATGAGTCTGATTAGCGTGTGGATGGAGGTTAACGGTGTCCTGCATTGCGTTCAGGGGACATGTGAGGTCACAGCAGCAGCTGGTGGCCGTCAGAAGAACTGCAGCCTCACCGATAGTGATGCAGCACAAGGTGGAGTTATATAGAGTTATATACATATATATATGTATGTATATATAACTTTTTTGACTTTGTTCTGTGTGTGTTTGCAGACATTTGGAGGTCAGACAGCGACAGGAGGATGAACCACTAAAAGGAGGAGGGAATAATTAAGGGACCCTTTGTATTTAAATCCATTACACAAGCATTACAAATAATGTATGTATATAGTAAATGTAAATATACATAATGAGGATTCTTGAGCAGAAGCAAAAACTCTCAGGGTAAATTTTGTAATTATTTTTAGTAAAAACACTGAGTGTCGTGTCGTCGTTATTTCCCTGATGTTTGGCTCAATTTCATTAAGCAGAAAAGTTTGACATTTCTTTATTCTTCATTCTATCAGTGTTTTTTATTCTTTATTTAATGCTGTATTGTCATATTTATATAAAACTTCAATGTGATTCTTTTCTAACTAATGGAACATCTCATTTGTAAATGGTTTTAAACCCAGTTTGGAGCTGCATGTGTTTCTTGCAGTGTGAAGCTTTCAGCTTCTGATGAAGTGAAACTGGGAGTTTGAGAGCAGGAAGTTGCCGTCTTCATGTGACCACATGCTGTTTGTGGTTAAACAGAGAGCCGTGTGGAAGCGTCTTCTCGTCCTGCCCGTGTGTGTTGTTTCTTACAGTGTGCGCTGGGACGGGCTGACTGTGTGTGTGTGTGTGTGTGTGTGTGTATAAATGTCACAGTGTGATGAAACCTTCACTCGTTGACTTCATGATGAAGATCCTTCTGCTCCTCGCTCTCCTCACAGGTGAACATACTCACTTATTTACTGATTTTAAAGGTGATCGCACATGTTAGCAGAAGAAGAAAAACTATTTTTATCATCGACGCTTCTTCACAGCAGAGATTTGTAAAGAAATAATGTTGTTTGCTGGTTTTGGACCTTTTTCAATAAAAGCAAACTCATTTTTAATATTAGTTATATTTAATATTATATGATGTAATTCATCAATGTCAAGTTCCAACAAGCTGAAGGAAAGATTTCATGTTTTGCCAAAATTCAATTTCATTTAAACCAAATGTTTTCTTACGTTCCGGTTTGTTACATTCAATATTTTACACGTTACTGTCACAACAAGCCGGACTCAGTCGTCCATGTCAGGCACCAAAATAGTTTATTTAACCAAAAGGCCGAAGGGCCAACCGGGGACGGGGACGGGGACAACACACATTCCACGTAACAACATTCAATGACTTGAGAAGGGACAAAAGACACGCGGCGTAAACACGCTGGGAAGCTGCAGGTGATTGGACACAGGTGGAAACAATCAGGGACACGGCAGACAATCCCAGGGGACGACAGGACGCTAAACCAGGGACACAAGAGGCAGGAAACTACAAAATAAAACAGGAAACAAACCCACACTGTGACTGTCACATTGTTTTTTTACGTTATGTTGTGTTACGTACCTCACAAATACTCGGTTACCTTACTTAAGTGGACATTTGGGGTATTGAGTATTTATTTTGACTTACATTTTAAAAATGACCTCATTACTTGTCATCGTTCAAACACGCACACAAAAACAAGCTGTGCAGATGAACGGCGCCATCCGGACGGCGTGAATCAGATTGTGGTTGGATGAGAAGTAGAAACATCCAACATTCAGACTCCTGTTGGATCAGAACGACACCCGCTGATCTCAGTTGGTATTTAGCGGCATGCAGATTAAACCAGTGTCCTCATGGCCGTGCGTTTGTCCCGAATGGTTTTTTGTAACTTTGTTGAGAATCTATCAGATGGCAGCGACTTCAATGACGTGACGTGTGTCTTAATGCGTCTTAAGAAATGAACACAAAGGGATTCTGTATTTGCTCGTGAAGCCTGAAACCGGTTATTTGGCCGGTGTTTTGATAACCGACAGCTACCAGTTCAGTGTTTCCATCATCATAACAGGCGTGTCCCCCTCGTCCCCCATGACGTAGTGAAGCTGGGGAGACGCTGCAGTCTGTGGGACAACGTGTGTCCGTCCTCCCACTCGTGTCATTTAGCATCACTGCAAAATGGCTTCTGGTCTGATCTCTTTGTCGTATCATGCGGGTCGATGCGTCTCTCTGAATGTCGCCATGTTTCCATCATCAGAACGCAGGTCACGTGATCTGAAGGCACCTTCGATCACGTTGTAACGACCGACATGTTCCGTGAGCGAGGTCACACGTCAGCAGTTTGTCCTCAATGCACTTTTGTTTTGCTCTCACATTACTTTTATACTGTAAGTAAAAGCTTGAGTTGATACTTAACTTCTACAGAAGTCCTTTTACACTCGAGCATCTATATTTCTACTTGAGTAATGTGAAGACTTTTGACACCTGTGGTTACATTGTGTTGTGTCACAAAACGTGAGCTTACTTTGTTGCGTTGTGTCGCGTGAACCTCACACAGCTCGTTTTTGTCCCACAGGCAGTGAAGGCAGCTCTGTAGTTGTGGGTGTCCTCGGCGGAGACGTCACTCTGCCGTGTGCATACGACTCCGGTCGCTACGGGCGGCTGTCGGTGTGCTGGGGTCGAGGGTCGATACCGGCCTCGGGCTGCGGAGACCAGCTCGTCTCCACCGATGGACACGAGGCGGCCGGACCGTCCGGCAGGCATCGGCTGCTCGGGCGACTGGAGGACGGAGACGTCTCCATGACGATCCTGAACGTCTCACGGGCGGACGCCGGGCGCTACGGGTGCAGAGTGGACATACCCGGCTGGTTCAACGACGACAAGCATCACTTTGACGTGGACGTTGAGGAAGGTGAGAAGCTACAGATGATGATGAAGATCTACAGGTTGTAATCTGATGGTCTGATGCTTCAGCTCCACAGACAACGACGTCGATGACGTCAACAGGAGAGACGACTACTACGAACCGAGACACCACAGGTACAACGCAGAGTACAACGGGTACAACGCATACAACAGATACAACGCAGAGTACAACAGGTACAACGCATACAACAGGTACAACACAGAGTACAACAGGTACAACGCATACAACAGGTACAACCCTAACCAGCAAATTTCAATTAGCTTATGCTAACCACTAGCTCATATTTCTGAATTCCACTGAGCATTCTGAAAATTAAAACTGTACCTTTCAGCTTTTGTTCGTT